TGCTGAATCAGCAGGCACATGGTGGTTGGGATCGAGTGTGAGAGCCAAGGAGAGAAAGAGCGTGTAAGAGAAATTGAGGCGGGGGAGGTGTTGGTGGATTTTTAGCAAAAAGAGTTACAGGAGCAGTTGGGATAACAAGACATTTGTGTGTAAAGAAAAAAGTTTGGAATCTGCAGGGAATAGGTGTTTTCTGGGAAGGTCATGTATGTTTGCCATCTGCTCCCACAACAGAGACTGTAGACTGGGAACATCAGCGTGAAAACTCAGGAAGAACACTATAGCTGGCCTCCATGTCAACAAGGAAAGAGACGGTTTCACCTGAGATGTCTAGCGAGACTTGGGGCTCTGAGAGAGATACCTTGGTGAGGCTGTGGGCCCTGGGCCCCATCAATCCTCTTCAGGGACGATGTCAAGCAGATCAGCCAGTAATGAGTCCAGAGGTGGCAGTGGCATATTCTGTGAGGGCAGGAAAGTTGATGACTTACCTGCTCTCTGGTGGACAAGGCAGCCACACTTCCAGTGACCCTCTTGGTTACAGATGGGACAAATTCCCAGTCATGGCCATGGTCAGGGCAGGCTCATGTTCAGTGTCCTTTTCCCGCCACACCTGAAGCAGGGTTTTTGGATTATTTTTTTGGCCTGTGTTTTATTTTGAGCCCTGAGTGCCAATACCAATGCTGCAGCCAGAAATTGGCTTTGGAGTTTAGCCTAAAATGCAACATTTTTAGCTCATATTTGAATGCAACCTTTTAAAGATTGTTGTGCTTTTGTTTTTTCTCTATTGTTGAAGACACAGAAAATCCTATCTAAGTCTTGGGGTACTGAGGACCAAGGTCTGACTTTTTGAATTTAGTCTGAATATATGGTGCTGCTTGGGAAATAAAATGGGAGTTTAAATTTTGTTGAGGGGACAGAGTGGAAGCAAGAATAACAAAGATCTTTATAGATGGATTGAATGATGAATTTAAGCTCTTTGATACAATTGTAAGGGTCAGCAGTGAAAGATATTAAATGCTGGGAGAAGATTGGAGAAAGAAAAAAGGACATGCGATTAAGCCTTTGGTACTTGTCACCTCACAAAGAGAAAGGAGAGGTTGAGGTGTCATGTCAAAGGCAGCAGGGGTAGGGATAATGAAGGCAACACGTGGGAAGGATTGCCAGATAGTGGCGGGTGTGAGGGGCCACAAGATGGCGGTAAGCGGAGGAATGAGACCTGCTGTGGTGTAGTGGTGGGGACAATGATGACAGTGGAGTGGAGGAGGAGGAGCAGGAAGGGGAGGGGTTGTGAGGTGAGGAGGAAAAGATGGCGATGCAGAAGTATTGGGTGAGTAACAGGGGGAGGCGAAGACAGTGGTGGCAGAGCAGAACAAGGAGAGCTCTGTGGGTATGGTGGGTGGGGGAGTGGAAGGGATATTGTCTGTAAGGTCAGCAGGGTTGACAGATAAGGGTTTTGGATGTGTGGAGCAGGCCAAAAGTGTTTGGACTGCCCCATATGCCTGAATGAGGGAGGAAAGCACCTTGAGAGCAAACAAAACAAAACAAACGAACAAAACAAACATCTGAAGATAAGGAATCTGACCATTTCCCACTATCGTAGCAAAAATTGTCTAAGGCAAGGAGGGTGGTGGCCATTATCAAGCTTGTAATGAAGCTAAGCTGTCTGGCAGTAAAAACTAATTTGTGGGCTATAAAGTGCCTTCGGAGATGAGAGTGAGAATTTACTTGGAGATCAGAGGTTATGGAGCAAGAAGCTGTCTCAGCAGGCACCCAAGTGGAGTGTCTTTTGCTTGGCGAGAAGTGGCATTGCCCATTGTAACCAAATTAAGGTGAGCCAAAGGGCTAAAAGCAGAGTCACATTCCCATAAGGAGCTGTCACCCCTGAAGAGCGTGTGAGAAGAACCCCAAAGCAAGGAGTGGCTCACCTGTTTGGACCTGAGAGAACTGCAGTCAGCTGGTGGTGGATGGAAGCTAGTACCATCAATGATGGAGACAGAAGGGGAAGAGGAAAAAAGGCTCACAGGTAAGGGGGACTCAAACTGGGGTTAGCCCCCAGGAGTTGTACTTCTCACTTATCTGAGTCTCTGCACCATCTGATAAAATTTTGGCACAATAGAGAGACAAAGAAAGAAAAAAAGATGCCTTTATTATGGACACAGGAGTGCTGAAGAAGAGATGCAAGCACCCTTGGGTAAGAACAAAAAAGTAGAAGTACTTGTATTAGGACTGGCTGAGGGAGGAGTTTGGGAGGTGGGCAAATGACATTAACAGCTGGTTTAAAGGAGCATCTGTGTGCAAAACAGGAAACAGATTTACTGGGGGCTGGAGGGTGGAGCACTTTGTGGGGTCTTGGGATTGGAGAGTGCTCAGTGCATGCACATAAAGGAAGCAGGGGGATTATTTCTAAAACTAGAAGGAGAACATAGAAGTTACTCTTAGTGAAACAAGTTGCTTCTCTGCGCTTGGTACTAAGCTAGGTGGATGGCATGTCACAGATAGCTAAGACCCAGGCTGACAAAAATCTTTCAGTTTTGTTGTGATTTATATCTAGATGATGTCTCCTCAAAGCCTAATGCCCACATAGGCGGGCTTTTGTGAGTGACTGTATCATGCCTGTATGATAGTGGGGAGGTCAGTGATTGGTTCAGCATAGTTCTGGGTATGGATAACATTGACCAATAGGCTGGTAGCCTGAATGGAATAAAAAGAGAATGAAGGCCGGCTCACTGCTTCCTGCTTGCCATGCCATGCACTGATCTTCTCTGTAGCACCCCTCTGCCATGCTACCCTGTCTTGGAGCCAGCCAACTGTGGACTGAAACCTTTGCAAACTGTGAGCCAAAATAAACCTTCCCTCCATTAACTTATGATTACCAGATGTTTCTCCCAGTAGTGAGAAAGTAATACAATTATGAAATAGACATCTGTCTGCCCTTGCTTGATTTTGGTAGTAACAGAAGTTAACTCATTGAATTATCCACTGACATAAAGAAAATGAAGTATTCTTATTGTAACACCTCTTTGCTGTAACAATATGCCATATAGTTTCGTCTTATTTTTGTATTGCTTTCCATCTCTAAGTTTATTATAGATGGTGTTTACTAGTATTGTTCTCTGTGAGATTCATTTTCCTGGACAGTTATGTTGTGCATTAAGTATCCTAAGGTTTTTGTAAGACATTCCAGTGTAATTGTTTCATAAATTGCTAAAGAAGCAATTGTCAGTTGACTTCATTGTATGCCTTAAGGCACCTTCTAACACAACCTTAGAGGTCTAGATTTTAAACTCACCAAGGAAGTATAACAGGAATTACCATTCACGTAGTTCAAAGGCCACTTCTGCCAATGAATTGGCATTTAGCACTTGCCTGAATTCTGAGGCAGAGGACATTGTTCTATAAGCTCAGTTTCAGTACCTTCAGGGAAAAGTTAGATATAAAGAAGCCAAGGAACCCATTCTTAGGCTCCTCTAATTCAGAATGCCTTGATTTCCTCCAGTGCGTTAGTAAGCATGTGTACAACCAGAAAGCAGGAAAATGCATCCCACAGATTTCCATCACTTCTGCCTTCTCCCTCAATCCTGGTGGGTCTTCAGAAGCCTTCTACCTTGCCTCATGACATGGTGCCCCATCTCCCTTCCCTTTCTGTCTCTCTTTTCAGACAGGGTCTTGCTATGTTGCCCAGGTTGACCTCAAACTCCTAGATTCAAGCCATCTCCTGTCTCAGTCTCCCCAGTTACTGAGACTACAGGTAAGTGCCACTAAAACTGGCTTGAAAAGAGACTTTCTTGATGCTTGGGGAGGCTGATCTGGTTCTCTCACTGTTTACATATGACATAATACTGGTGTGACTGTGTAAGAGAGGTTAACTATTCAATAGATTTGCAAGCCAGGGCCAGGTATAGTGGTGCACACCTATACTTCCAGCACTTGGGAGGCTGAGGCAGGAGGATCACCATGAGTTTGAGGTCAGCCTGGGCTACAAAGTGAGTTCAAGCCTAGCCTGAACTGCATAGTAACACCCTGTTCAAAAAGAAAAAAAATTTACAAGGTGGGCTGTGGTGCATGCCAGTTATCCCAGTTTTCTGGGGTGCTGAAACAGGAGGGTCACAAATTCAAGCCCTGTCTTTAGGGAGAACCTGTCTAAAAATAAATAAAAAAGGTTGAGGATATAGCGAAGTGCTCCTTGAATTCAACCCTGTGTATTTCAAACAGTAACAGAAAAAAAAAAAAAAAAAAAAAACCCACCAAACTAAAACCAGAACCCAAGTAACCCAGTAGCTTTTGGGGGAGAAAACAGATAAGAGACTTTAGCTAGGAATGGTGGCTCATGGTGGACAAGTCTGGTTAGCTGCAATGAGGTCTACATTGAGATTTCAACTCCTTACAGTCTTCCCTGAGTCTGTGTTCTCTCCTGTCCTCTACCCCACCTTTGTAATAAAACCCAATGAGAGCACGTGATTTATTATCATCTGAGTTCATAGCAAGAGCAAGGAGACTCACTTCCTTAATGGTTCTGGGACTGCGCTCTCCTGTCATGTAAAAGATCCCCAAGAATTGGCTCCAAAAATAAAATGTGTAAGCTTCATTCTTCTTCATGAACAATGTTTTCTCTTTTAGAACAGACACCTTCATATGGGTCTATTTGCTGCCAAACAGCCTTTTAGGAACAATTACAAGTAAGAGAGATGATAAATGGAGAGAACGGCAAAGCTTATAGTACTGCTTACAAGGAATGTACCAAAACATCATTACAACAAACCGCTCAGTTTTGTGTTTTGTGGTTTTGTTTCTGAGGTACTGGGGGAGGGGGTCAAAGTCTTGTAAATGCCAGGCCAAGATGTTACCCCAAACCACACCCCCATCTATCATTCAGTTTTTAGTCCACATAAGTTCTTACTCTAAAAAAAATCTACCTGAAGATACATCTTTGTATGCTTTTAAAAATAAGTATAAATCACACTGACATACAGAAAAGCTGCTCTACTGATGAAAATTAGTCCTGGTGAAATGAACAAAAGATAACTGGTTTATTTACTGGAAAAAATTTATGCATTACATGATATTCAGTTGGTAACATAAACCAAGATATAAGAATTGGTAGATTGACTTCTGGTTACTTTCTTCGCTTTCCCAACCACTGAGGGCATGATCAGATCACACAAATACAAGCACGTCTTACACGGTTCTCCCAAAAGACATTCACTGAGGATTGTCCACAATAAAAAAGTAAAAACGACCAGCAATAATAAATACATAAGAACTTTTTTGAATTTAAAATAAATGCATGTGTCTTTGAGAATTTTTCTTTGAAATTTGGATTTTTAAAAAATAATTAACAAAAATGTTTCTTAGATCAGTCTTTTAGTTATGTATTTATATGATATTATAATTAAGTGGAAACATTTCACATCATTTAGCCCCAGAAGGCATGACAATAAAACTGCAATTAAATGTAGGAATAGCTGAATCATTACAATAATCACACAGTGTACAAATCAAGGCTGGCCTCACGCGACACGAATGTTAGTACTGCCAAGAAATACAGTACTATCAGGATCATGTTTGTTCACCATATACGCATAATCATGCAAATAAAAACACTGAGTAGATTACAAAAATGTCATAAAAGGTTTTCAAAGAATAGTTTAACTGACTCTTAACAGTCAAACCATTGAGCTTAAAAATTCTTGTGGCAATAATGTCAAAATGATGTATTTCCTCTACAATTTGCCAAACAATTGTATCTATGAACCCAATGATGCTTCGTTCGATATTTCCATTATCACCAAATAAGACTTTTTATACAAACTCATGACATTTCCCTTTGCTTTATAGTTCCCTGGTCTTTATTTTTAAAATAACTTTTTGAAAGGAAAAACATACATTTGCACTAAGAAGTATGTTTTCATTAGAGAATCAGAATGACCAGAGAGTAATTTTAAAAGAAATGCTGAAATAAAATAAATTCCCAATGAGTGTTGTACAGCAATTAAACTCTGATCTCAGAAATAATCTGGCTCAGCAGTTTATCCAGATTTCAGTTTAAATAGGGCAAATTTTAAATAGCTTTTCCGGAGGAAAGGGATAAAAATACATTGAGACTAAGAGCCATGCATTGAATAATGAAAGGGACCAGGTATACGGCAATGTCCTTACACTCCTAATGGAGAGGTCACAAGAGAAAAAAGATTTCTCAGGTTTTGTCGTATGGACATAGAAAAGCTTACCTGACATGAGCTATCTCATGCAAACATCTTACATCCTACACTTCTTACATTGTACTCTTGCCTTACACAAAAGGTAGTTAATTGCTTCTCCTTCTCTTTTTTAAACAGAATATCATCTCTGAAAAATGCTCCATTGGGGAATATATCTTAATACTAAATACCTCTTTCAGTGATACCTTATATAATAGGATGAAAGCGATGTCTAGGGAAAATCAGTTGTTAACACAACAGGATCATGCTACTAATGCCACACAGCAGGGACCATGGCAGTCAAGTTGGCATTTAAATAAAGATGAATTTAATTTCCAACACCATTGCCAACAATGGGAAGGGTCACTCAGGAGCTATGTTGGTCTTTTATGTCTACAGAAATTGAATTTAAGGTCAAAAATCATGTGTCAGTATCATTCCTGAACAGTGACTCCAGTTCAACAGCTTTCTGAAAAAGTATGTTCCCTTCATTAGAAAACATCACTACAAACTTTCTGCAGTCTTAATAATAAGGATTATCTTAAAGTACTCTGGTTTCTAAGCAAACAAACAAACAAAAAGATAGTAAACCTTTTAAAGCTGTGAACCTCACCCTAAGAGTTTCTTTTAAACCTAGATGTATCTGCAATATAGATGTATCCATCTGAGGCATTGTGGGCTGAGCCAGCCAAGTGTTCCAATGGGAAACCCATTGGGTTCCTTGATGTATCCTTCTGGACACACTATTTCTTGGATGATTATGACAATAAAATTTTATATTTCTATTTCAGTAGAAAATAGATTTCATTTCTTCATTTTCATGTTTCATAATCTTTATTGGAGAACTGGAGAGGATTTATATCAGGATATTTCCACACTCTTAGCTAGTTTATTAGACCAATGCTTTATGCTTGTTTGAAGCAGCAGGTCTTTGCTATATCAGAATATTTTCCATAGCGCAGAAAAAAGCAAACATGAAAGATGCTTTTCAGTAGAGATGAAAGTCGGAAGGCATTTGGCTCACGCCCTCCCTCTGCTAGAGGGACTGCATACCTTTCTGCTTCTCAGGTATTCCTAAGGACATTTCCTTTCTAGACTCCCAAAACTGAGGCTTTTAATACTAAAATTACTATTTTGTGGACAACTTTAAGGACAAAATGATATATAGCTAGAAGGAAAAAAATTACCAACAGTCCTTTTTTCTTTTCTTTTTTTTAAAAAAAGAACAAATATCTTGTTGAAGTTAAGATTGCTATGCTATTTCAAAGGATAAAATATTTATGACCAAACAGAACTACTTTAAGAATAAGGAATATAGGATTATAGGTTTGCAGAATAACGCATTATTTTAAGATTTCTTGCCACTTAATACTTACCAAACCACCAATAATATTCAATTTTTAAAACACAAATCTTTCTTATATCATTCTGATGACTGATTTTCCATTGCTAAAAATCTCTATTCTAGAGTTAATATAAATCCTTCACTTTGAAGATTTCCTAGTTCTAGTCTTAGTGGTGTCTATGGCTGTTTCTATCAATTCTCTTTTCTGGAAGGCTACAATTATATCTCTTCTTCCTTAGGCTAAGTAGATATAGTTTCTCAATCTTTATTAGTTAATAACTTTGTTTTTTCAGAGCTTTCCAAATTTCTTTTAAAAAATTACAATTGGATATGTGAAAGCATCTAATGAAACATCAATTGATGGGAAAGAGTCATCCAAGGTTTTGCCAATCCCAAGAACTCAGGTCAAACCATTTATTTTTTACTTTGTTACTATTTTGTACCTTAAAAAAAAAAATCTTCAGTAGGAAAGCATTTCTACACCTTAACTATTCCTCTCTGTGCCACCACTGTGCTTACTTTGCTAACCACACCGGCCAGCTCCCCGGCATGTTGCTGGCCACATTTGTGAACAGGATCCCATGGCTTAGACTGGACTTCAGCCCATCATTTCCCTTCTCTGCACGCATCTTTGATTGATCGGAGTTCATTCTTTTTGTTTCTCACTAGTTCTTCACTTCTTAACTTCCTTTTGGATCCTGATGTTATCTTTACAGGTACTGATTTTTACTGCTGCTACACATATCTACTCACTTAAAATGCCTATAAATAAATATAAATATGGCTGGGTTTAAACCACTATGCTAAATGACGCCACAGTGGAAGTAGTATTCTCTCTTACGATTTAGGCTGCACCACCTAATTGTGTGCTGAAAAGAAAAATTTAGTTTGAAGTTTCTATATTTTTTTGTCAAAATTCTGCTAAAATTGTTTTATACAATAATACTTCAGAACAAGCATTTCCCATGCTTGTTAGAGACCACTTTCTAACAGATTTAATGACAGATTTCATACTGGAAGAAATAAATGCTTTGCACACTCCTCGGCTTTGCACTGGGTGATAAACCAGAGGGAGGATGGGGCAGGGCTGGGGCAACACACTGAGCCCTGTGGACAGGAAAACCCAGCTCCAGCCACACAGCATCTGCAGCCCAGTTCCCATTCCACCAGCACGTGACAGGCGATGGAAGGTTGCTCTGTGGTCATGGTAGAAATGTATGTTTTCCCTCAGGCACGAAGTCAGTTTAGCAATTATGCGCCTTCTCAGGTCCAAACACTTGACTCCAAAAGGAAAAGAAAGAGCAGGGTGGGTCAGTCTTAAACTGAACTCACTTAATAAAACCCAGTATGTCGCCAACAAGGAGATACAGGTAGGAACGTGCGCCTTACAAGCTATGATCAGGACTTGGTGAAGGTCTGTCCATTTCTGCGTTCTGACCTGAATGCCTATCTTGGTAGAGGTTTCAACTGTTTAGGCCAAGTTGCTCGAGAAATGACACTGGTGAAGACAGCACTCATGTAAGGAACACAGAAACTCTTGGCTGCTTTGGTAATAGTGACTACTCCCTGATGGGGGGACAATTGTCTGAAGCTCCTATGTGCGCTTGATGACTTGACTTTCGAGGGGCATCCCATGTGCACTGCCCTCCACTGCTTAGCCAAGTGGCTCCAGGATCGTCATGGGTAGTGTCCTACATTGCTAACTGTTCTTGGTGCTAACAGTGAGGACCGAGCTCATTTGGAAGAGAAATTACAGATATATGAAGAGGTGAAACCTTTCTGGTTTTAAATAAGTTAAGGCTACTGACAAAGACAAGGAATCAGGGCTGGGAGCCCTTGAGTGGGAGGGAGCCTGAGACACTTCTCAGCTGCTGAACCTGTTTTCCTTGTTTGTCAGATAATGTGCAAAAAAATTTTGCTATGAAAATCCACTGCCTTAAATCAAGTCATAAAAATTACCTAGCAGAACCTGTAAATTAACCAGCAATGTCTTATCATCAGTATAATATAATATAATGATTTGTAGGCACCTGAGTGTTTGTCAAAAGTAGACAATGAGCTAAGGTTTGTTATCTATATATATATATTTTTTTTTTTTGGCAAGGACGATTCATTATGAAAAAACCTAACAACAAAACATACAATTCTAATCAAAATCTGAACACCATTGGTGCAAATTAACTTGCCAAGGCTACCTTACGTCTATTTAGGTGTGTTTTGTTCTTGATACTGTTTAGCAGGAAAGACTCATAGTAGGAACCTGAATTTGGAAGAAAAAAACAACTCTGGTCATTAAATAAACACAGCATTTCCTCCCTTTACATGATTTAGCCTTCTTTAATGTCTTCACGCGTGGCCACACGCACAGAGGAGCAGCACAGTACACCTATGCAATGCGGTTAAAAAACTGAGTAAGTCAGGAATCACAACTTAACCTCTTTCTTAGACTTATTCATTGATGAAGAATTCTGGTTAAAACAGAAACCAGCAGTTAATGAGCTACTGATTAGAAATAAGTGCATAAACAATATCCGTGTAGCAGCAAAATACAGTTATTTTAACATTCTGATGCACCTCATTTATCGCTTTGTGCAAGAAACATGACCAGTCTGGCCAGTTCCAGACTAAAAACTAAATTAAAACTCATTGAACTGAGCAGATGAGGCTTATTTAAAAATAAGTAAATTAAATTCGTCTCTCACAGAAATTATTCTTATAGCATAAATCATATAGCAAATAAAGTACAAAACTAAATATCAATGACAAAAACATTATGTCGCCGAGTGTGGCATGAGGACAGCTCATCTTACAGTGTTTGCATTTTGCAGGTCTGAGGTGTCTCTTAGGCCACTGAGGCCAAGCCAGCCGTCTGACACACACGCCTCATCTTGCTTCCCTTCTTTTTCTGACTGAGCTGTAGCCATCGAATTGCAGTGTCTCTGGGCCCCAGGAACACCATGAGACGTCTGATCACACGGGGTCTGTGCTCTGTGTTACTCTTCCCAGCGTTTTCTCCTCTTCCGAAACAACGGACTCCAGTCCACCTGTGCACCCAGCGACCGAGAAGAGAGAAGAAAACACCGCAGGCCCATGTGGCTGGAGCCTCATGGAGGGGAGGTCGGTGGCAGCGGAGAGACTAGGGGCAGGGCGGCTTGGCCAGACAGTGGAGTGGGGCGCACGGAGGGCTGGCGGGTGGCTGCTCCTCCGGGAGGGTGGCATCAGCACTGCGAAGGAGAAAGAGCTGGTCAGCGGGAGCTGAGGCATGGGGCCAGGGCCCCGTACAAAAGCAGGAACAGAAATTCGGCACAGAAAAACGGCTCAAACCAAAGCATGCCATGACAATCGCAGTTTTCAAAAGAAAAGAAATGCCACACAAAGTGTCCCTCCAAAGTGGCGATTTCTCCCTTTTTGTGGTCTCTAAACCAGGTGGGTCTGGAGACCTGGGGCCTCGGGCCTGTTAGGCCAGTGTCCCAGCCTGACCCTCATCCCTGCCTCCTGCTGAGCGTGCTTCTAACTTTCCTGTGCATGCAATGTAACCTGGTGCGCCTTGCAAGCACACGGAAGGTCGGGAACCCTGGGTCTCCTTCCTCTCCTGCTGAGCCCAAGAGGGCTGGTGACGGCCTGGGAAGCATGCCCAGCCTGCTGTGTGCTCTCTGGGGGACCCGGGATTAATAGGACAGAGTCGGGGCTGCGGAAGTGCCGGTTGCTTGCAGGGCCCCTGCTCTGCGTGGGCTTGGTGGTTACAAAACCAACAGAATCGCTCGGGGCCAGTCTAGTTTGTAATGCGGCTGTGGGAGGCAGGGCCACCACTGCAGCCTCTGGCTTGGCAGGGTCTTGGCGAATGGCCCTGAAGGATAAGGAGGCAAAGTCGCTGAATTTTCTAGTGTGAGATATGAAACACATCCTTTATAGCACAACGATCAGTAGGGAAGAGACACCAAGGGATTGGTTGTTTTAAGCTGAAAAGCTGGGTATTTTTCTAAAACTGGATATTTTCCTATGTGTTATGAAATTTGGTACCATAGAATTCATTTCTGCCAGGAGTGTTTGAGAGAGCTACTTGAGGTTTAACTAGTTTTTGTTTTGTTTTGTTTTTTCGAGACAGGGTCCACTCTGCAGTGCAGGCTGGCCTTGAACTCCCAACAATCCTCCTGCCTAAGCTTCCTGAGTGCTGGGATTACAGTCATGCACCATCACACTTGGCTTATTTACCTAGTTTTTGAAAGAAATATCATTGGAGTCGTTAAAAATCAGTACTAAGCAATTTATTTTTTGCTTTTTTTCTGATGGCCTTTTAGGGTCTTTGTATTAACCTACACCTCAATCCTTTTAATTTTTAAAATTTTGACATGGGGCTCACTAACTTGCCATGATGGGACTTGAACTTGCAATCCTCCTGCCTTAGTCTCCCAAAGGGCTAGGATTATGGGCACATGGCACTGTTCTCAGTTTTAAAAAAATGTTTTTAATCTCTGTCTCTGAAATCATGTGTTTCTTGTAAAATCATAATTCTTGTAATTGAAGTTTGTCTTTCCAAACTTTTCGAATTGTTGTAATTTTTTTTTTGGGGGGGGTGGAGTACTAGGGATAGAACCCAGGGGAATTTTACCACTGAGTAAGAACCAGGCCCTTTTTATTTATTTTTTATTTTAAGACGGGGTTTTACTAAGTTGCCCAGGTGGACCTTCAATTTGTGATCCTTCTGCCTCAGCCTCCTGCACTGCTGGGATTAACAGACTTGAGCCACCACACCTTGAACTGCTGTTAACCAAGTTTAAAAGGGGACTGTTTGCACAGTTAGGGTAACAGGTGTAAAAATTACTTTCCTTCCTTTTAAACTGTGGTGGTAAACATGAGATAATCAGAGCTTTCACCACAAGTCTAAGGCATGTTTTATTTATTGATTAAAACCAGTGAGCTGGGTGCTGTACACACACTGGTAACCTCAGCATTCAGGAGGATCACCAGTTCAGGCCCTACCCGGATGACAGAGTGAGCCCTACCTCATAAAAACAGAAAAAAAAAAAAAAAAAAGAACTAAAATAGACCTTTGAAAATTGGAAGAAAATAATATATGGCAAGAATCCTTAATATTCCCACAGGAGTTAGATGGGAAACAGAGGTTGATTAATTGAAAGAAGCAGTGGGCTTTTGCATAGAGTTTGCAGGAGAAAGGACTAATTTCTTCTTAGGGAATTAAATGTGTTATGCACATAAGTTCTAGAAGGTAGTCCAGGGTGGTCACATTATGCAAGGACATATTTTTGAAGATCATGTGTAAGTGAGGTTCCATTGTGTATCGTGTGTAATTCAATGCTCTTTTTGATACAGCAAACAAGAATGTACTTGAGAGCAGCTGAAGTGCCTGGTGACAGCACACACAGCCTGCAGCTCTCTTGGCCTGACACCCTGGCATGACATCCTCCATGATGACACAACAATTTGCACTATTTCAGAGTTAAAAATATTAGACATCACACTATTACTATCTTAAATTTGCAAAAAATCAAATTACATTGTACATATTTTTAAGAACATTAGAAACATTCTAGGTTTATAGGTTAAGAAATTATTTTCAAAATATGAATATTTGATAAATTCTAACCAAGCAAGGTACAAAATGAATTCACTCTCAGCCCACCTGTTAGTCCACCTCTATTAGTGACAATTTTACTTTTCATAGGAAAAGCACAGGGTAAACTGAGCTCAGGGGACTATTGTTAAGATAAGAAGTAGGATGTAGCTTCAATTCCTCTTTTTTCTTCCCTTTTCTAAGTCAATGACTATTTGACAGAATACCAAATTCCTTTATAATAGGTGACTATGACCTGCGAGACTGTACTAGCTTGAGGTCTCCTGTGTTATGGTACAGTTATCTATAAAAACTGTATTTGTTCTAAAACGGAACAGTCCTTGGCTCAGTCCCCAGTGCTGTCCTAGGCGTTGAGGGAGTTATCATGGAATATCTTGCTGAAGAGTTATCTATGGGAAAATTCAAATATGAGAAAACGATGTCTTGTTTAAAAACGACACGCCATAGAGACAGGTGAGGATGGAACTAGAGCACAGCTTGGTGCTAGGCACTGGCCTAGTATGCAGGATTCACCTCCAGATCCGCAAAAAACACCACCAAGTGAAGTAAAAATGCAGGAAATATGAACAGATTTTCAAAAAAGAAGAACACCTGCATTCATATTATTCAACATTTTGACCAAGGTTCTCATGAAACAAATGTCCCCTTAGAAAAATAGTCCTTGTGCATGGTCTTAGCGTGTCACTCCTCCAAGGGTGTGGAAAATGGGGATCTGCACCTCCATGCCAGCTCCAGTGGTGTCAGGTGTGACTGCAGACACTGGGTGGCTCTCCCTCCCTAACCTCGCTGGGAGTGATGGGCAAACCTGAGGGATGTTGCAGCCTGTATGAGTTGGTCATCCTTGTGGAGCGCACAGCATTAGGGTTCGGGTGCTTTCTGCCAGTGGAGAGCCAATGAGCAGCGAGGATTCTAACTTGGAGCACCTTTGCAAAGGAATCTTTTCAGGTCCATCTGTATTCTTTTTTTTTTTTTTTTTTTTTTTTTGTCTTTTTCGTTTTTATCGGTACCAGGGATCGAACTCACGACTGCCTGCTTGCAAGGCAGGCGCTTATGCCGCTGAGCTAAATCCCCAGCCCCGGTCCATCTGTATTTAATCATTTCTCTGCATGGACCGCATGAACAGTGGTCTTGCAAGTGTCACTGAATTTGTAATTCATGAACTTGCTTTTTATTCCCTATTTGCAACTAGGGATTGAACCCAGGGTCTCTGAACTGAGCTATATCAGTACAGCTTTTTATTTTGAGACAGAATGTGCTAAGCTGTTCAGGTTGGGTTGGAGCTTACAAAGTTCTCCTGCCTCACCCTCCCAGAGTGCTGAGATTATGAGCAGATGTGTGTCACCACACCTGGCTTTTTCTTCAAGCAAATCATCCCTGTAGAGGCTGCAAGCTGTTTAAATTCAAGGATTTCAAAAGAGAAGGAACTGGGCCTTATAACTGTTTAGTTGAGCTTCCCAAAAGAAAAGCATGCTGAAATAAAATTATGTGATGTGATAAAAAATACTTCTAAAAAAGTACTACAGTAAAAGACACATTACCACTGACCCCCTCAACATAGTCATCTTTGCTTTGGATACACTTATCCCATCCTTCTTGCCACTTTCTGAAGCAGCTCTGAAAGATCTCTTATGAATGTCTTTAGTTGCACTAACCTGGCTGCCTCAACATCCTGAATCTTTCAAAACATTTCCCTTTCATGGTCATTGTGACTTTGGGGAGGAGCCAGAGGCTGCACAGGGGAGGTCTGGTGAAGAAGGTGGGTGACAACACATTGCAGTGTCTTTAGGAGCCTGCCTCTGGGCAGCAGAATTCACCGTATTTGTGATCGCAACTCACAAAGATACTCAGGAAAAACGACTTCCAGAGCCGCTTTAGAAAGCAGCAAGAATGATGGGCTAAGTGTGTTCCAAGTGATGGGCAGTGTTTTGAGGGGGATTAATGGCAGTGTGTCTTTTACTGTAATAAATTTTAAGCATTTAAACCTTCACTGTAGATCACACCTCATACAGTTAAAATTTTTTCCTTGCAGCCTTTCCATTTTCTATCTCACTGTAACACCTAGACGAGTAGCCTTCTCCAGCCCAGGCTCAGGCAAGGTAGGAAGGTTGTGAAAGAGACTGCAGATCTTTGCCTGGCGGGCTGGTTTGGTGCAAGGGCTGCAGTGTTGATGATAGACTCCGCCTGGCCAGGCTCGGCCTCCCGGACCTCCTCCAGGGAGCAACTCTGCAAGCTCACCACTAGGAGGTGCTGGACACGAGACCCACACCCAAACCCTTGGACTCTAGAGAGCATGCCTTGAGGCTTCCCAAGCACCCTTCCCGGGTCTGACCCCGCCCCGGCCTGGGGTGGGGCCACAGCTGAGTCTCAACCTTGGCGCCCGCAGAGCCCAGGGAGGCGCAGTTGAGCGTTTGCGCTTGGCTATATTTCCTCTCATACTTGAAATTACTCTGGTTTGGTGGCTGTTACAAAGCTGCATTAGCATGGCAGCAAGAGCAATTCTGCAATAAAAGCCGTTTCTGGAAGTGGTGGGAAGACTCTGCCTCTTTGCGGCTGGCAGCGCCACGAGCTCAGAGAGCAGGGCACAGGTGACCGCTAACGCATGGCCACATGGACCTGGAGGAGAGGAGCGGGCGCCCTCAATCTCCCAGCCGGTGGGCAAACTCTTCTGGAACCCGAATCCTCACCAAACCCTGGGTCCATTCCGGGGAGTATGCAAACCTTTCAAATCCTTTGCTTAATCTCCAAGAAAGGGCTTGGGCTGCAAATATTTATTTCTGAATGTCAATGACCAGGTTTTTAACTCATCCACTCTTTAAACTCAGTTTTCAGAGAGTGCTTGAGGGGAAACAGAAATGCTTGTAAAAATAAAGCTGTCTGGAACAGCCGTTAATCAGTGCATACCTCATTCTTTGTATTTGTTTGCCTGAGAAACATTTAAAGGGTAAAAAGACAAAAGAAGCAATAGTGGGACAAACTCTCTTCCTAACGCTAGGTGTGTGGAAGGGAAGGTAGCACCGCACCACAAGGTGGGGGAAGAGAGGGGAGGGAGGGGCAGGTCCGTGGGAGGGGGGTCCAAGGAGTCTGCAGCGAAACAGAATCAGGTACAGGAGCTGAAAGGGTAGCAGGCACGCCGGCATGCAGCTGGGTGGAGGGCAGAGGACGTGCATTTACCTGACGGGCGGGCAGTCTTGCCTCCTGGCTAGTTGTGAGCACTGTGGCGGTACGGAGGCAGCAGGCTGCTGACAATCTACGAGAAACTGATAAATTAGACATGTATACAACGCGATGACAGCGCTCGGTGTTAGTAACAGAGCTAAGGCAGCTGCCTGCGAGATTTAGTGAGGAATGCGTTCACACAGAAACACCTTGACCCTGAATGATGCCAATAGGAAAGACAGGCTTTTTGGTAATTAAAAAATTAGTGACACAAAATTAGTAGCGGGATTTCTCAAGTACGTTAGGACAGATATAGCCATTAATTTTTGGTATTTTGATATTTCTAAAAATGAAGGATTTACTAATATAAGATGTCCAGGCTCTGCATTTGAACATGTCAGGAGTCGTTTGCTTAGCATGTGGATCTGCTGTTCCCAAGTGGAACATACTCTGATAAGTGACTTCATCATCAAGATGCACAGGCACACTGCCAGTTCCATAGGAATCTGATTCCTGTTGAGCATGCATACATTTTTTTCCTTGGTTAATAGAAGGAGAGTGGACAAGAAAATCATCTGAAATAATTTTTCTGAAAATCCATTTTATAAACAAGAATCATTAGCTGAAACATTAGCACCTTTACTATATACTAAATTGTTCATAACTTGGACTAGCAGAGAAAACTAGCCTGAATTAATGGGAAGGTCCTTGGATTTGTTTTTGCCCTTTCATTTTATCTTATTTATTTGGTATCAAGAATTGAATTTAGGACCTTGCACTTGGCAGGCAGGCACCGTATTGCTAAGCAAAATCCTTGGGGCCTGTTTTTGCCATTTTAAAGCAGCGTTATATGACTCATCCTAGCTTAACTAAGTGCTAGCTAGTGAAAGTCCATGTGATAGCTGATTAGCAGATTAATCATCTATGCTGAGAGACTGCATACTCAGGGTTCCAAATAAATCAAAGATCAGTCTGTTTACTGGCACCAGATTAACTTACTAGAATCATTGAAAAGATTACTTAAAAATGCATACTTTCTATTTGGGCAAAAAGATGGCAAATAAGTTAAAATTAGTTTTACTTGAAAACCATCCTTAATCCAAGCACTTCTTGTTAACCTCAACTATGTATTTGCTTAGCAAATCCCTTTCTCTATGTGTTATGTAGGTAAAATTTAAGCCAAATTATCACAAATTCTGAATTTAGTAGTCAATATATTGTTATAACAAAACCTGCCTATATAACTTCACAACTCACAAAAACTGCCGATGTTTTTATGTAAGGCAAGCTCAAGAGAGTATCTTTACTGCAGGGAGCCTTTATAGTATAAAGTGGTCTTTGTTGAAGAGTAACTTATTAATTACTTATTATTGAGAATCAAGGAATCTGATTCCTGTTAAGCAGTTGTTCTTCTTATGGTTATATTAGTAAAGTCTTGCAAGTAATTGTTTTCTCAGATTTTTTTCTCCTTTAACTTCCCTTTTGCAATATGATTAGCTCCAAAGATTCCCTTTTGCAGAAACTCAGAGTCTTAAGGAATGCATTCCTATGTCCTTTTGTGTTTTAATCTTTGCTCCTTTTGGTTTTTCCAATGCGAATTTAGGCCTGCCTGTCAGTCTAATCTGGCAACGATTGTACAGTATTTGTGAAGTCAAGCAGGTGTGTGCTGCCCTCCTGTGTCGTGTTTGAGTAAATGCAAGATGTGGAGAAGAGGCCCTGGTGACAGAGACAAAATTCTTCCCGAGCAGACGGATAGCCCGTGGCAACCCCTAGGCCCAGCCACAGGATGAAAATGCTTACATAGTTTTTCATATCTCACATATGCAGAAATGGTCCATTCTCCACAAAACATGTTTTCAGAAAACATGTTTTGTGAAAAGCGAAGAAAGCAGACAAGCAGGACCACAACGCAGTCTTAATGAGTCTCTTACTATGTGGTGGTTGTTCTTTTATTTTCTCCATACTGGAACTGGTGATAGAACATAGAGCCACACTCTTGCCTCCAAACTACATCCCTAGTACTTTTTGATTTTATTTTGAGACAGTCTCCCTAAAGTGCCCAGGCTGGCCTCAAACTTGTGATCCTCCTGCCTCAGCCTCCCAGGATTACAGGCATGGCCGTTAGGCCTGCTGTGTAAGTAACTCTTCACATCTGTAGTAATATCATTCTCCACCTAGCTATTATTATTTTACTTTAGGATTTTTTTCAGTCTTGGGATTGAACCCAGGTTTCCATACATGGTAAGCAAGCACTCTATTGCTCAGCAACAGCCACAGCCCTACAGGAATCATTAAACAAACTCCCCAGACAGGTTGATGACAGATGAAAACACTAAACTAAAAATATAACTATGCTGTTCCGATGCCACTGCTTTCTACATCTCCCCTCTTCCATTCAGGGACCTCAGTTACACTCCTTCCAGCCTCACTGAGGTGCAGCTGTGTCTCACCCATACTCCGAGAAGGGGAGGAGGTGGCTTCCAGCCTGAGCAGGTCCCTTTTGGTCTGGGCACCCCCTGCACAATCTCCCTCACTCTGCTTGGACCTGCTCTCCCACTTGCTCTTGAGGGAGTCAGGCTGAGTGGCCAAGTGACTTACAGAGCAGGCACCGAAGCAACCCACAGTGACTGCTGTCACGTGGTCACCAGCACTGACGTGTCATTCAGTGACACTGGTGCTAAACTCCAGTTTTGTCTGCAACCGCTCAACAGAGGGGACAAAAGAAGAACAGAGAAGATACAGTCCCTGCTTTATTAGAAGACAAACAGAGATGAGCATGACAGCAACATGCCATGGTTTTGATGGCGACAGTGACAACGAAGCAGATAGAACCACTCGAATGTGTTACAGCTTACCAAGAGTCAGGCATCGTGCAGGTGTTTATATGCTTGCTGTCCTCTGACCCTACATTACTAATCCCAGTTTTTTGGTTCTCATGGCTTCATCCTTTACTAATCCCAGTTTACAGCTGAGGAAAGGAAGAATTAGCTTGAGTAACTGGGTGAGGGTCATTTAAGCAGCAGAGAGCGATCTGTGCTGCTCCTACAGCCATGGCGTTACGGGCCCTCACAGTGGAGATGGATTAAGGTGAGGTGGATTAGACTGAATCCAGCTCCAGCTAACTAAATCTGTGTTGTCAGGGAATTGTTTCCAGCAGACTGACACCGCTAGCAGCTACAAAGTGTTCAAGCCTACAGTAAGTTGTCACTCACAGGCGTGAATAATGTCACAGTGCACTCTAGAGCTTTTCAGTGCTGCAAGGATGCAGCCAGCACAGGGTGAACAGGCTACCATGCAGCCAAGCCCCTGAGGGTCCGCTGAGCCCACAGGAAGAGTCCCTCGACAAGAGACTACAGGGGAAAGGTGTAGAAAGAGACAGTCTGGGGGTGCAGCTCAGGGGTACAGCACATGCTTAGCATGTCCAGGGCCCTGGGTTCCATTTCCTGCATTAGTAAAAAGGAGAATGAGGGGGGAGGGGAAGAGAGGATGGGAAGGGAGAGGAAAAGGAGAAGAAACATCGTCTGTTAAGTCTACATGATGCACTCTTCCTGGCAAGCTTTACATCAGTCAGCTACTTTAAGGTTTGTAACATTGCAGAATTTCTATTTCACTACCCCTACAAAAGAGGAAAATTGATATATTGGACTATACCAAAGTCTCCTGTTTTGAGGCTATTTTCTCTTTATATCTAGTTAAAGACAGATGGAAAGACATACCGACATACATGCACACGGTATGGGGGCAGTACCCAGTGCCTGACACGGCCACACCACCAGTTTTCATGGTCTCCCTTGTGGCATGGTGCTGTCACAGAGGTGCTATACACCCTCCCGCAGATTCACCCATGCCAGCTCCCCAGCCCTGGCCCAGGGCACCAAGCCTCTGCAGAGAGGTGTGACCAGGCTGCTGGTACCACAGCCCATTTCTCATTCCAGACCCAGCTATCTCTTGCATGGCCCCGGTGACCTTCACAAAGTGTCACCTCAAAGACAGTGAAAAACCTCGCAAGCACAAGGTGAGCAAGGCCCGGGATAGGAACACCGTCTCTTTTCTATAAAGATGGGGCTGAGAATGACAGAACGCCACCAGCAGGAACAGGTCTGAGGCTCTGGCTTTCTCTCAGAATTGTATTTTTAAACCTCTAAATGCAGTTGAGTAGATGAACCCATTTCCCCAAAGTTGATGCCTCAGGGCTGGGCACCCACTGGTGTCCAGGGTGGACGGCAAGGGGACTGGGGCAGTGATAGGGCCATGTTTGAGGTCTCCTCTGGCTGCAGTGGCCCTGATGTGGACCGTGTGGCTGAGAGCCGCTCCGAGGGGGCCCTGGCGGTCAGGACAGCGGTGGCTGCAGTGGCTCCCACTCTCCTGACTCCTGTCTCCTTACCCAGCTTCTGTATGCGTGAGCTCTGCCAAGGGCCGCTCATTTTCACTTTCTACAAAAGCGGTGTTCTCTGTTTCCCTTGCACTTGAGACACAGGGGCAGCTCTCTCCACACCCCTGCTGGCTCTCCAACCATGGTCCAGATCCATGCCCGTGGTCAGCGAGGCAGTGAGGGTGCCCGGATGTCCCAGGTGAGAGCAGCAGGCAGCCATCTCGCCTCATCCCAGTCCCCCAATCCTTTGAAAACAGCCGAAAGTGGTGTCCTGGGACGCCACATCCTCTGTGACCTCACACTGATTTCTGTTCACAGCCATCTGCTGGCACACCCCCCTCACTCCAGTCACGCCTGTCCCTCACATCCGTCCCCAGGACCTCACCTCTTCCTGCACAGTGCATCTTTTGCATATTCCTTTCCTCTCCCGTTTCTTTTACTCTCAATCAGAAAACGTGCAGCTCATGACCTTGATATCATTATCCAAGATTAACACAGTATCAGGGACAGGCTAAGTCAAGGTCACATTTCATAAGAACCAATCTATTAGCTTGGCCTCTTTATTTATGTGAACCAGTTGTGAATCCAAACAATTGCATTGTCATTAGACTCGATTTCTCTTTGGTCTCAGGGACACTTTAGAACACAGAACTGGTCGTTCAGGTATACTGTCATTCTCCCTGGTTCTGTGACTCTGAGGATAGTCTAGCAGACAGGAA